GAGTTCTACTTCATAATTGTCCTTTGTTTCACACCGAAAACTCCCAGTTGACCCACCATTCAGCCCGGGAACCGTTTAGGCAACCAATTCCATTTTACCCCAAACCCGGTCCCTGGTCAAAAATCACTGAATCAGTCAACGATCCATTGACTCAGGCGGTCGAACCGTAGACCCGTTCAATGGTTTTTGGCCATTTTTTATTTTTTAATTTTTGTTATCAGAACAGGCCATCCATTCGAATCGGATGGTCAAATCGTCGACCTGGAAATTGGTGGCCAGAACGTTTCTGTTTCCGGGTTGTTTTTTCTAGATGTCAATAATTAGACGAAATAATTTTGTAGTCATAGTCATGGGAATGGTGGACATTGCAAGGGATTCCAAAACGTTGAAAAATAAATCCGAAGTGACCTTAAACATAGAAAAAATTGGTGGTAAATCCACAAAACCGGAAAAACCAAGAAAAAAAATTAGAAAATCGAGTCCGAAGTTCCGCTTTGAGACAGAGCTAAACATACACACAATCAATAAAAGAGACAAAGTAGATTGTCTTGTAAGAAAATAAAAAAAAAACATTGCACAAGAAAAACCAAAGAAAAAACAAAAGGGAAAAAAATAAAATGGTGGTAAACCCTAGACCGTTTTGGAGGATCTTGAAGAAGAAAAACAATCACAAAAAAAAAAACAAAAGCATAAAATGAAAAAAAAGGAACATACTTCACACGCTCGAATAAATCCCATAGTAGAAGAAATCTTTGAATAATGAAAATCCAAAAGCATAAAAAACCATGGCTTTTGAACCGCCATTGACCTGGACGGACGAACATTTTGGCTTGGGAACCATCTAGGCAACTGGTTCCATTTTACCCCAACCCTGGTCCCTAGCCAAAAACTGTTGAATCGGTCAACAACCCATTGACCTAGGCAATCAAACCGTTGGCCCGTTGACCCGTTCAGTGGTTTTTGGCTATTTTTTTTTTATTTTTTTAATTGGGAACCATCCGGGCAATTGATTCCACTTTATCCTGGTCCCTAGCCAAAAACCATTGAATCGATCAATGACCTATTGACCTGGGTGGTCGAATCGTCGACCCGTTCAATGGTTTTTGGCCATTTTTTAAATTCTTTTAATTTTTGTTATCAGAACGGGTTGTCCGTTTGAATTGGACGGTCGAACTGTCGACCCAAAAACCGGTGGCCATAACGGTTCCGTTTTCGGGTCGTATTTGAATCGGATAGTTGAATCGCCATTTTTTTTAATTGGGAACCGCCAAGGCAACCAGTTCCGTTTTACCCCAATCCCGGTCCCTAGCCAAAAACCATTGAATTGGCCAACGACCCATTGACCCAAGCAGTCGAACCATCGATCCGTTGACCCATTCTATGGTTTTGGCTGTTTTTTTATTTTTTAATTTTTGTTGTTAGAACGGGTCGTCCGTTCGAACTGAACTATCGAGTCATCGACCCGTTGACTCGTTCAATGGTTTTGGCCATTATTTTATTTTTTTAATTTTTTTTTCAGAACGGGTTGTCCGTTCGAGCCGGACAGTCGAACCATCGACCTGAAAATCGATGGCCATAACGGTTCCATTTTCAGGTTGTACAAGTTACACACTTGAATGACATAACATGTATGATACTGCTTAATGGACCTTACACACTCAATTTTTTGCCTGCAAATTTTGTTGTCAGAACGGGTTGTCCGTTCAAACTGGACGGTCGAACCGTTGACCCAAAAACTGGTGGCAAGAACAGTTCCATAATTTTTTGCTTGTAATTTATGTTGTTAGAAAGGGCCATCCGTTCGAACCAATCGAACCGTGGACCAAAAAATTGGTGGTCAAAACGGTTCCATAAATTTTTGTTTATAGTTTGTGTTATTAGAACGGACCATTTATTCGAACTAGACGATTGAACCATCAACCCGAAAACCGGTAGTATATATATATATATATATATAAGATTATTTGTTGCAACACATGCACCCTGATGTAAATAACTTTATATCTCTTTTACTGTTATAATATTACCTTTTTAATTATAAAAAAAGGTATTTTGGTGGAGTCCTTGGCCCCCCAAACTTTTTGTTAAAACTATTATATATAACTTAATGAGTGGAGGCAGGGTTAAAAACTAGTAAAGTGGGTCCTTAGTTCCTTCAAAATTTGAACTGAAATCACTCTCTAATGCTTTTCTAATTCTTAAAATTAAAAATTTTTATTTATTTTTTCTTTAAAATAATTTGTAATAGATCCAAACTTTTTTATCCTGATTTTTTGTTTAACTTGACCCCAAAAAGGAAATTCCTGGCTCCACCACTAGATACACGTGGCAATTTGCATGACAGACTGACGTGACCATCTCTCTTAGGGCACAGTTGCATACAACTACAAGTCCCAATTTCTGGGTGTGCTTGGGTGGGGAAGGAGGGGAGGTTGCCACAAGCTCACATGCGCCACCGGACATTCCTGTTTATACCACCATGAGTCAAAGGTCCACCAATTTGTAGTAGATACATTCAATACTTACACGGCTCAACACTATTACTCCTCTACCTTGAATTTTCTATAAAAATTTCTTTGGCATGTACTGGGCCTGCTGATTATACCTTCGTCTGATAGCAGCAAAGGCCGGGTTTCATTCAAAATAACGTCGATCAGGATGGATCGGATCCCACCTTCATCTCTTTGTGAGATTCAATCAGATATGATTCGGATATACATGGATTTAAATTTGAACCAATTCGATTGCATCTTATGTATAAGCAAATACATAGAGTGAAAAACTTTATAAATTTAAATTATTTTGTATTATTTATGTTGTACATATTTGCATTTGTACTTTTTTCAAATTAACCCTAAGACTGAGTTTGGAATGAATACAAATGAAGGCTCAATTTGGAAAGAATACAAATACAAACATGTACAGCTTTTGCGCTCTACATATTAGATTTTGTACTCCTTCCAAACTCAGCCTAAGCTCCATTTTGAAAAGAGTGCAAATGCAATTGTGTATGGTGCAAAACTTTATATGTGATATAGTGATATACCTTGTATTTGCTTTATATATTTGTATTTGCACTGTTCCCAAGCTGAGCCTTATGACCTGCACTGAAATAAGGCACTAATAATTGAAACTCAGCCTTCACTAGCACTAATAATTGATAAAGACAACCGAAACTCTTCAATACCTTGAGTTGACTTTGCATGTTCCATCGGTATTAATTAGGTAGAAATAAAGTCGGTCTCGGCTGTTGGTACTATAGGTCAAGGTTTTAAAAGGTTAAAGATGTAGCTGAGGCATAATGACCCAAAAAGGTAAGACATAAGTCTCAAAATTTAAGGAAAAATTAATTAAAATTTATAAATTGACAAAAATAATATATATTATGTCAAATTAAAATGATATAAAGTACACATATTTATATACTAGAAGTTTATAAATAATAAATTTTGATATTTAAACATTAAATAAAGTAATAACTAATCAACTAACAATTATAAAAATTTTACGTTTCATGTGAAAAAACCAATTTAAAAGAAAAGGAAATAACTTATTATTATTATTATTATTATTATAATTACTATTATTATTATTTATCTTTTCTTTCAAATCAAACACAGCCTTAGACGCCACTCTAATGGGCTTTGAACTGCTTCTGCATGATCCATCGACATTATTTTGAATGAAACCCGACCTTTGCTGGACCACCAGTTTAAAGATAACAGAAACCCTTCGACGCACTCTATTGGGCCTTGTCATTGCGCATTGAAAAAGACGATCCACCACCCAACACTTTGGTCAAGATAAATGGTTACTGCCATTCAAGTTTTGATAGCTGCCTATAACCATAAAACTTCATTGATCTGAGCGAGTAGTTAATAACTGCCATTCCAATTGTGTATGGTTGCATACATTGATTCATTTTCTTATTTCTTCACCGGAAAAACTTTGGCTACATGGAATTATATATAACACAGTGATGGTTTAAATGGTTCAACTGTCTCGATTAATAATGGGTTGAAAAGAATTTGGATTCGGTTAATGCAAGATGGTGCTTATATTGTTGGAACAGTCTTTTGTAATTTTATATTGAGAATATCTTCTCATGAAATAAAGCACATTAGTATAGGAATATTCCCAATGTAAGGCTGTAAAGACTGTTTTCAACAGAAGTTGCACTGATCGAAACTGAATTTGGTTGAAAACACTATAATAAGGTTTTTAAAACCAAATCGGACAGGAAACCATTTTGGGGTCCAATTTTCGGGTTGAATGATCCAACTGTTCGAACTGAACAAATGGCCCATTCTAATAAAAAATAAAAAAAAGGCAAAAACCATTGTCTGGGTCGATAGATTGAAGGTTCGACCGCTCGGGTCAGCGGTTCACTGACCAAATCGATGATTTTTGGCCAAAAAAAGCGATTCTAAGGTAAAATAGAACCGATCAGGTGAGTTTTGAAAACATTGCACTACAATAATAATAGGGCGTTATGTATACGGATGTAACAACGTATTTCTATACTTGGGTTGTTCTTTTAAACTACTCCATGAAAAGAAATGTTACAATTGGAAAGTCTTATGTTCTTGAATTTAACTCCACCAAACTATAAGTTCAGTGGTTCAAACTTCAAACGTAATGAAGACCTGGTCCATATATGTGACTTTTGAGCGTGGCTTCCTAAATAATTTGAATCTGTGAGTTTGTCATCTCTTGTAATATTTAGTAATTTGAATAATTCATCTGCCTAATCCATGGGTACTTATCATATGATTCGCGCGTATGGGTATTGGTATATCAAAGTCAAACTCCAAGTGTGCAAGACGTATTCAAAAGATAAATTTAAAGGCTTTAAGGCTCCATATCTATCACCAAGAGGTTTGACGTTTTCTTTTCCAATATATATAAGCGCGCACTTGTAGCTCAATTAATCTACTGTCTGTTGCCTATCTCCTACCTTTGCGAATATCAGTGAATGCCTCCACTCTATCAGCTAATTAATGGAGTTTTCACCTCTGCGTTGTGTAACCTTGTCCCTTACTATGATCACTCATGTTCTCATACTTTTTTCCCTGAACCTATTTGGGTTGGAGTCTGCCACTGCAGCGACGACCTCCGGAAATGACACTGATTGGCTTGCATTGCTCGAGTTCAAAAAACAAATAACTGATGATCCTCTAGGAGTCCTGAGCTCATGGAATGGTTCCGTCCATCTCTGTGACTGGCACGGAGTAACATGTGGTCGACGACGACGACAAAGGATCATCGGTTTGAACTTGGAGGGGAAGAAGCTGGTGGGAACCTTGTCACCCCACATAGGCAACCTCTCCTTACTTAGCTTTATCAATCTCCAAAACAACAGCTTCCATGGAAGTATCCCCCAAGAAGTTAGCCGGTTGTCTATGTTACGTGATATCCTTCTGAACAACAACTCCTTTGGAGGTGAGATCCCGCACAACCTCTCTCACTGCTCCAATCTCAAACACCTCACTTTACACTACAATAGAATAGAAGGGAAAATTCCTGTTGAACTTGGCTCTTTAACCCACCTTGTGAACCTATCTCTGGGTAGCAACAACTTAACAGGAGGAATACCATATTCCATTGGGAACCTTACATCTCTCGAGCATCTTTCATTTGAAGGAAACAGTTTGGGGGGTAACATTCCAAATATCTTCAACCAAATGAAAAGACTAAAACATTTGGAGTTTGAGCTGAATGATTTTTTCGGTATCATACCTCCCTCAGTTTACAATCTTTCATCTCTCACGTTGATAGCTCTGACTGGTAATAAACTAAATGGTAGTCTTAGACCCAACATTGGCCTTGCTTTTCCTAATCTCCAATTCTTATGGGTTGGAGACAACCAATTTAGTGGACCCATTCCGTTTTCCTTGTCCAATGCATCAGGGCTCATTGAGATTGACATCCCTGGCAACAACTTTACTGGACCTGTGCCCATGGATTTGGGTAGCATACAGACCTTGCAGTGGCTTGGTCTAGGAGAGAATCCTATCGGAAGAGGAGAAGCTGATGATTTGAATTTTATCACATCCTTGATCAATTGTAGCGATCTATGGACATTGTCTCTTTATGACTGCAATTTTGGAGGTATGTTACCCAGCTCCATAGCCAACCTCTCAACCCAACTCATACAGCTATCATTTACAGGAAATCAGATAATTGGTGGCATCCCTATAGGAATCGAGAACCTTGTCAAATTAATTTCTCTGGAAATGGACAACAACCTCTTGACGGGTAGCATTCCAGATTCCATTGGAAGGCTTTCAAAGTTACAGTTGTTATCACTGAGTGGAAATAGATTAACAGGACAGATCCCACCCTCCCTGGGCAATATGACTCAATTGGTATATCTGGATTTGTATAATAATAACTTAAGAGGAAGGATACCTCCAAGTCTTGTTAATTGTCAAGGACTACAAGAAGTGTACCTTTCTCATAACAAACTCAATGGCACCATACCCAAAGAAGTAATTGGTCTTTCATCCCTCTCTATTATCCTTGATGTTTCTCATAACTCATTAACTGGTTCTCTTCCACTGGAAGTTGGAAGCTTGAAAAATCTTGGTCATTTGGATGTTTCTTATAACAGGATGACAGGCGAAATTCCAAGCACGCTCGGAAACTGCTTAAGCTTGGAACACCTTTATATGCAGGGTAATTTCTTCCAAGGAACCATTCCATCATCTTTGAGCAATTTGAAAGCTATTCAAGATTTAGATCTTTCAAATAACAATTTGTCTGGTTCAATTCCTAAGTCTCTCGGAGGGTTGCCGCTTCTGCAGTACTTAAATTTATCCTTCAACAGCTTTGAAGGGGAGGTACCTGTTGTAGGAGTCTTTCTAAATGTAACAGCTGTTTCAGTTGACGGAAACAGAGGACTTTGTGGGGGTATACCAGAATTGAAGCTGCAACCATGCCCCATGGAGGAGTCCATGAAAAAGGGAAAGTCTCTTACTTTCAAGCTAGTAACAGCAATAGTTAGTGTGATTCTGGGCTTAACCCTGATTCTGGCACTTTTCTTTGTGTGCTGGAGAAGAAAGCCAAAGGGGATATCCTCTTCTGAACCTCTAGTTGAGGAATGTTCCACCCCTCCATTTGGGGAATGGTACTTAAAGGTATCTTATAGAGATCTATTTAAAGCAACTGAAGGGTTCTCTTCAGGAAATTTGATTGGTTCAGGAGGTTATGGGACTGTTTACAAAGGAATTCTCCACAATAATACTATTGCAGTGAAGGTACTTAACACTCAACAACGAGGAGCTTCCAAGAGCTTCATGACTGAATGCGAAGCTGTGAGAAACATCCGTCATCGCAATCTCATTAAGATCATAACTGCCTGTTCAAGCATGGATTTGAATGGTAATGATTTCAAAGCTCTAGTATTTGAGTTTATGCCAAATGGGAGTCTGGAGGAGTGGTTGCATCCAGGAGAAGAGAAAAATAGTCAATCTAGAAAATTAAATTTTCTAGTAAGACTAAATATTGCAATTGATGTCGCTTCTGCATTGCATTATCTTCATTACCAGTGTGAAGCACCGATTGTTCATTGTGATTTGAAGTCAAGCAATGTTCTTCTTGACAATGATATGACTGCTTGTGTGAGTGATTTTGGCATGTCAAGGCTTCTTTCAAATTCCACAAAAAAATTAACTCAGAAACAGTTCAGCTCGTTTGCAATAAAGGGAACTATTGGGTATGCTGCACCAGGTAACATAGATGTCCATTGTTTGTATTTATCAATTTTCTTTTCATAACTTCCTAAGTTGTTTTGATTGCTTATGACCATAAAACTTGTAATATGCAGAGTATGGCATGGGTGCCGAGGTTTCAACTCATGGGGATGTTTATAGCTATGGTATACTGTTGTTAGAGATGTTCACGGGAAAAAGACCCACTGCTGAAATATTTAAAGATGGTCTGAACCTTCATAACTACTGTAAAATGGCTTTGTCAGAGCGAGTGATGGAGATTGCAGACCCATTACTTCTATTATATGGGGAAGAAATTGAGCAAAATGGGGAAAAAGAGACAGCCACTAACAATGAATATTTGAGCGGATCGGGACACAAAATGCAGGAATGCTTGATTTTTGTAATTCGAATAGGAGTTGCTTGTTCTGCAGAGTTGCCAAGAGAAAGAATGGACATGAATGAAGTTACAAGGGAAATGAATTCGATTAGAAACACTTTTCTTGGTGCTAGATATTAAAGAGACATGGAAAAAGATGAACTACGCCCCAACTTAGATTTCACTGCTGTTATGGTAAGGTTGTATACCAGTGCAATACTGATAAAATCTGCTCCCTGCTACTGAAAACAATCAATATGGTTTCTGCAGTAATCCTGGATTGAACAAAAAGGGCGTTGTGGATCGCTTTGGATCTCCTACCACAAACTTGTATCACATCCCTACCCACAAGAAACTACCGCTGTGTATTGGGAACATGAAGCAAGCTGAATAGATTGATTAATGAATAGGATGTGAACAGCACTCCGAATCTTCTACCCACATGACACTATCGCTGTGTATTGGGAACATCTCCCCATGAATGACAAGGCAGATATTCCCAACGTGTGCCTATAGTGTCTTGTGGATAAGGAATGTGGGAAGAGTTTATGCGTAGGAGATCCTAGCTCTGTGAGAAGGGATTAACTTTCACTCAGCTTTCTGTGAAACCAAACATAGCCTAAAACTCTCTCTCAATACAACTAGCATGGTTTTTGGTAATGAAGACATAGCTACTGATGTTAGAAATTATATTTGCTAGTTGCAAGCTCCAACACCTTGAATTTGTGGTCACAATTTGGTTTAGACAAATAGGCTTAATTGGTTGGTTTCTGACGTGCTAGGACAGGCAATATTTCATGACAGGACCCTGCACAGCTGAGTCATAGAACTTGGAAGCTGCAGGATGAATGTCAAGAATACTTGGCAAACACCAGAACTGTGCCCAATACTGCCCATGTCCTTGGCTCTAAAGCTTTGAACATCTAAGAAAAAGATTGGTATTAAGACACTTTGGTCTTTACAATCTAGGACTCGTAGGAGTCCTGAACTTTGTCATACAAACATGAAAGAATTCCGAGAACAATCAGAGGGTGGAAACAGAGCATGCATTTGCTGTTTACATGAATCTTGCTGCTAGACAGGTCTATTAATCAATTTTCCCAGCTACCTTTCTGCTGTGGAAGTTAGTCTTTCTTTTACAATTGTGACCCTAAAATAGCATGCTTCTCGAAATTGAGTGGTTACCTCTCGAACTGCAGAGAAAAGAGTATACCAAAGCAGGGGAACTAGTCCAACTACGCTTTTTTGGGTACCACCAACTTGCATTTGGGAAAAATTAGAATCTAGTCTTAGAAATCTGAATCCGGTAAAACTTATGCAGCTGATTTCTTCTTATAGGATTGATTAGGAGGTGATGAGAATATTTTCTAAAAATCTTAAGCTGATTAGTGCAATATTTTCTGATGTAAAAGAATTTACTCTGAATTGATGGAAGCGACCATATAGGGGCTTTACAAATTTTAACTCTGATGGAGTACTGTATATCTATTGTTCTGATGATGGTTCTTTGTTGGTTGCAGAAGGAAAGCCTTTAAGAATCGGAGTAGTGCAGAAACTGAAACTTGGTCCAGCATATGGGCAGCTGCAAGGGAGAATGTTGGCAACCCTGAAGTTTAGTCTGTTGGTCAGTGTTTCTTCTAGATCATGTGAATAATATTATATCTAGAAGCGCCAGGGGTAGACCAAAAAGTATATAGGTAGTAGTAAAAAATGATTTAAGCATCAATAATTTAACAGTAGTTATTGCATTAAATAGAACTGAGTGGCAAAACAAGATTCATGTAGCCGATCTCATATCCATATAGTTGGGATAAGACTTGGATGATGATGATGATATATAAGAAGTATGTTGTAGGGTGTCTTTCTAGCGTCTAATTATGTATGGACTCTCCTTCATGGTGATATATAGATTGTTAGCTTTTATATCCTTTTAACTTTATTGGTGGCTTGCAATTGGAATCAAAATTTGTTGGAATTGGAATCAAAATGGTCTATTCCCATTGTTTGGTTCAGACAGGAATCAGAATGGGAATTGAAATCAGCTCAAATAGGATTTCATTCCTAAGGGAGGGGGAGGGAATGACCATTCCCTCAAACGGGGAATGCCATTCTACCAGGAATGGGAATGAGATTCCAATTCCACCTAACCAATCCGTTGGAATCAGAATGACCCCATCCAATTCCAACTCCAGACCGCTATTCCTTTGAACCAAACAGGCCCTTAGTATAAGCTACAAAACTTATTTGCTATACATTGGAAATTAAAAGCTTTTAAGGATCTTCACTCTGACACTTTATTCATTAAAAATTTATCTAATTTCTTAACTGTATTTGTGCAATGATCTAAGCCCGAGAAGCTGGCAGCTGTTTCATGTTTAATTTGAGGATATTGTGCAGGGCTCAGTTTGTACGTAGTGCTTAATTTTATTTGCACTGGTGTAAATGCATGGGAGTGTAAATTGGGTGGGTGTAAATTCTGGTTTACTTTTGCTTCAGATTTGATTTTACCTACGTGAGAGGTAAAATAGGAAATAAAATGATGTAATTCCTACCTCATACAAAAGAAAGTGGAGGCCACAGGAGGAGGGTTAATTGTTTGAGACTGAGGTAGGGAGCAAGATGATGTGGTCTCACTTTATATGAGAAAGAATTAGGTAGGAGGATGTGGTGCAAATTTTGCATCAGTTTTTGAGATATAAAATTTGCACTATTAATGAGTTTGAATGTGGCAAAGGCTCAGTTTGGAAGGAGTACAAATACATACAGAATACAAGGTTTTGCACTATACATGTTTGTATTTATACTCCTCCCATGGAGCCAAAAATACAAATTTTGAAGCAGATAAGAGTACAAATCATACATAATTATTACCAACAAACAGATGCAAAGCTAAACCAGGTGCAGAATTTGCATTCAATTCAGATTTGCAGAGCAAACAAACAAAGCCCCTACGTATCATGGAGCATTATCAACCCAAATCAACCATTCAATAACTCATAAGTGTAAACCACTTAAGGATCAGATAACTCTCTTTGTATTGGATTGTTCCCCTCCAAACACATCATTGAAGCTCCAAATTTATGATTCAAAAGGAGCTAATAAAAATAGCTTTCTTATGCTACACTGCAGGGAAAAAAATATGTTGAATGAGTCCCATATATGTTAGGATCCATTGCGAACGCTTACTTTAATTATGAGTTACATCTCTTCAAATATATAATAATTTGGATCATGTTTCCTACCCTACCTAACCCATTCTTTTGTCTTTGGAGTCTCTATCTTGGACTTCGTTATTTTTCTTGAAGCCTATCAGATCCAATGTTTATCTGTTATGACATTAATTGACAAAGTCATAAATGTCGGTTGCTTCTAAGTATGCCAAACAGGCACCACTAGGGGTGGAATCAAATCCAGCTCTAATCGAATAGTTTTGGTTTGAGTTCGATTCTAAACAAGTTCTAATTGGATTCAAATCCCATTATAAGCTTAATTAATTATTTGAAATCAAGCCCCACTAGTAAAAGATGAATCGGGATCTCTTGCCCACATCTACCTACAACATACTATCCTCTTGCATTGGGAACATCTTGCTGTGCATTGGGAACTTTGCCCATATAAAAAGAATAAATGTTCTTCATGTGTACTTGAGATGTTATGTGGGTAGACATGGGCAGAGTTCTTGGGGAAGGAGATCTAGACTCCCAGAGCGTTTTGGTATTTTCACACAAGAATTCCCCATTTGGAATGCAAAGTGGAAAGTTCGCATTCTGTGCACCGGTGGGTTTACTAGAACCACGTCCGCAATTTGAATTTGGACTATACTTAACGTACTTCTTACCGTTAACTCCGGTTGAATCGGACACAAGATTTCATTCGAACTCCCTCTTCCTCCTCTCCTCCGCCAAGTCTTAACCCAAAGACATCCCACATCCCACCGGCAATCTTACTATACACCAATGTTGTGGACGTGAAATTCACTGGTGGCAATCCGATGGTAAACAGAGAATCTTCACCTTGACTATTCACTATTCACTATCTAACTCAAAGGCATCCATCATAGATCAATTAGAATTCTGTTGCCTCTTAAACATTTCAAGAGATAAAAGAGATAAAAGAGAAAGGATGGACAAACAGTTATATATGCTGATAATGCATCCAAATTTACAGTCCTACGCAGTAAAACATGACCATGAAAAACAAAGCAAAAGACAACAAGAGAGAAAAATACGGAGAAGCAGCATGGCTTTCTTGCGGTCGAAGAAGATCAATTACTTCGAAGATCGACAAGATTCCGAGACTAAGGACCCAGTCGTAACCCGCTTGTATCTAAAACCCTCTTGTACCTCCAAAGCTCTAGACAAAGATGACGTTCTTCGACGCATCCGCCATTTCCGGGAACGCTTTGCAAGCTCTCTTAAACTCGCCCCTTCCGGAAAGGGTGGATGATTTCCTCCAGGAGAGATGGTTAGAGGACACTTTCTCTACTCCCTAGTAGAAAGCCTGTGCACTCGCCGGATGATATGCTCTCGCCGCTGGTGGCTTCCACATTCACGACCGTCGATGTGGAGTGAGGAAGAGGAGAATCTCAAAAAATGGGAGGAAGTGAGAAATGAGGTTCGAAACGAGGAAGAGAGTTGTAAACTCGGGTTCATTGTCTTTTTGTGTCTAATTCGACCGGACATCTCTCCAGGTAATGGCCAAAGTCCCGTTAATGTTTGAATCTCCCAGCCCATCAACATGTCCTTCTCTAGTTGGTGCGTGAACGGGTTCACAGAGCGCGGACTCCAGAGTGGACATGGGTAAGTACCCCCAATTAAGTAAAATTTAAGTTTTTTAGGCCATGTTTGGGAGTGCTTAAAAATAATTACTTATTTGGGCCATTAAGTACTTATTGGTATTTGGGAAATAAGCCTAAAATAAGTGCTTATTTTAAAAATAAAGCTTATTTTTTAAGCCTAAACTTCCAACTATTTTTAAGTGCTTATACAATAAGTATTTATTCAATTTTTTTTTCTTCCAAAATTATCCCTAGACGAATTTTAAAATACTAATAAAACTATCCCTAGTTGAATTTTATAAAAAGTACTTTTATGAAAGCACTTTTATGAAAACAATCGTAAAAGTGCTTTCATAAACGTAGCTTCATAAAAAGTGTTTTTATAAAGTACTTTCATAAAATTAATTTAATAAAAATGCTTTCAAAGGGTATATTTTGAAAATTTGAAAGAAAGTGAAGGACAAAATAGTCACAAATGCTTATTTAAGTGCTTATTAGAGAAAAAGACTACCAAGTGCCCAATATAAAATAAATAAGCACTTATTTTTAACTTAAGCACTCCCAAACATGGCCTTAGTCCAAAGTTTTAAATTTGGGGCAATTGCACGACTGACCAGGTAACCTTGCAGGTGGTTAGCCAGGCACTTATTCTAGATCATTCCATCATTTTTACATTTAGAGCTTGCTTAGCTCTCCAGCTCTCGAACTTTCAAAGTCCTACAGACCACAACCACACGAAACAAAATGAGATGGAACATGCATTATTTGAAAAGAGACATCTGATGCAAATCCGCTATATTGGTTGAACCTGCAAATCAGAACATATAAATATTAAAATTATATTCAAGTATTTTAACTATAAAGATAGAAGTGGAAAACAAAACTTACATGGGTTGAATCAAGCAATTGGAATACCAACAAAGTTACAATTTGCAAAATATTCAACACAATACAAAGAGGCATCTTCCATATGAATATAATGCTCCCATGCCTCCTTTGTAAAACTCTAAAGGGAATTCAACAAAAACAAAGCAATTAAAAATTATTTTGTTATATGCTAGTCCTAATTTCTCAACAAAAAAAGGAAGAGATGTACTCTTGCATACTACAAGTTTTTAAATGAAGTATACATCTATAGACAAAGGATTCCGTCAGCAGGATTGTACTATATAACAAGTACAAAGGTAGCCTAGTACACAATTATTAAAAAAAAAAAAATACTATGAACATATTGGGTTGAAAATGTGACTACAAAAGCAAAATTTTCATAAAAAATAACATAAAAATACAAACCAGAAAACCAAAAAAATATACAATTTAATAGTCAGGCCTGGAAGATGCATAACAAACCAACCTTAGCTACTAAAACTCTTAAAATAACACTAGACATTTAGACAACTGATTTATACAATGAATAAATTTACAGAATGATACAACCAATGCTCTCCCAAAATTCCAGTATCTTTGCTCCATGAGAGATATGCAGGACATGAAAGATGAAGGACCAAGGTCTTTCATCCTGTGGTAAATAGTGTGATTTATGTAAGTCAACTTTGCAATTTTCCTTGGCATAGGATATGAACTATTACGTAGGTTTCCCTTGTAGCTCTGAAAGAATTAGGAAATTTTTTGGATGGATTCAATATATCAAAATAAAAACTTTTATTGCTATCTCATGTATTATTCAAAATATAGAAGAGTTAGACGGTTAGACCAAATTTCATGAAAATACATCAAATGGAAATGTCGATAAGTACATGACCACAATTTAGACCTGAATGTGGTGTTGCAGTGCAAGTTTGTGCCCAGGATACAAAGAAATGTTTGCGGTGAATAGTAGCCTTACCAGTTGGATCTTTCATCTTGAGGAAGAATTTGACTGTAGAGAGGAAACTCAAAAAGAAAAGTTTCTTTG